TGTGCTGCTGTGCATCCCTGTGTGTGTAATAAGCAGAGTGTATACGAGCTGTGGACCCGCCTATACTAACGCGCTCTTTAAATAACAAAAAAACTACTGCGCCATTGACTTTAGACCAGGTTTTTGTTGGTCAATGGCACAGTGTTCAGTTGCCTCAAAATAGCAGCGCGCCAGCAATGCGCCTGAACACACCTCGTTTTCAGACCAGCACGCCCATGGGCGCACAAATGGCCGCAAATTAATTTTCTATTTAACCAACGTTTTAATGTTGGATGTGAAAATGACAACTGTGTCGGGCTGAAACTAGCAAAAAACACTTGCGTCGCGCCTGAAGCCACATTGCGCCGGGTGTATGATAGGGCCCCATGTGTTCAAAGCCAGCAGACACTCTGAAAAGAACAGCCCTGTACACCCTCAACCAGTTGAGTAGATCAGTTAGGACAGTGACATAGGTTTGAATACTGGATATTCAGGGCTTAAATCATGGAAGCTCCTGTATTGTTCTCATTTCAGTATCACTCATTTTCTGTGCTCTCCTGAGATATTTTCTAATACTACTGTCAGGATCCTGCCCTATCTGTCTTGTCTCTGTTTCATGCTCCCGTGTCGGCTCCAGCCCCCGAGTTTAGCCCAGTGTCGGCTCCAGCCCCCGAGTTTAGGCCAGTGAGGGCTCCAGTCCCCGAGTTTAGGCCAGTGAGGGCTCCAGTCCCCGAGTTTATCCCCACAGAGCCCGCTCCAGTCCCCGAGTTTATCCCCCCAGTGTCGGCTCCAGCCCCGGAGCCCGCCCCAGTGTCGGCTCCAGCCCCGGAGCCCGCCCCAGTGTCGGCTCCAGTCCCGGAGCCGCCAGAGTCCGCTCCTGAGAGGGCAGTCGCAGTGTCAAATCCCGCCCCTGAGTTCAGCCCAGGGCAGGTACCAGCCCCAAAGGGCATTCTAGAGTCAAGTCCTGTGTCCGTCCGTGAAGTTAAGGAGGACATCTCCACAGTTCAAAGGAATGCTCCCAAGACTGCCCCTGTTTTTATGCCCAGCCGGATGCCCAAACCAATTAGGCCAGTTCCTGCATCTAGAGGCACCTCCAGTCAGGCTCCTGTCTCTCCGTTCCCACCCTCTGTCATTCCCGGTTGTATGAAGTTTCTTGTCAGTCCCCAGTCTAGTCCTGTCCTGTTTTGCCCTGTTCTGACTTGCAGGCTGAGCTACTGGTCATCTCCCCGGGTCTGCCACGCTGCTAGGCCTGTGCAGTGCCTGATACATCCTGAGTGTGGAGTGGCTGTGGAGTGGTGAGGAGTGTCAGGCCACCACTACTTACCTCTGAGCTCCTACTTTGTCGCCTCCACTGCTCTCTGGCGGTCTGGCATCCTGGACTGGACTCTGTGGCCGATCACCCAGGCCTGCCTGTCTTTCCCTGCCTAGTGTTTGGACTGTGTTCACCCCTCTCCTCACCATCTCTCGTCTTGTCTGAAAGTCTGTCTCAATAAACCCGTTAACACTCACTC